TGATTACAAATGTGACATTGAATTCAATAAACAATAAGTTAATTAAGAGACTTACGTTTTAGACACCATATTGCTTGTTTTTGCTCTATTTCGCCAACAAATATCATCCCAAATACAGCCACAGCGCTGTTTTGTGTGTCTGAGCAACATGACGGTGTTTCGTTCCTGAATGAATCAACCGTTTAAATGAATCGGTTCAATCGCAATGACTCGCTTTTTAACAGTGATTTGCTTTTGATTGGTTTTCATTTCACATTTCGGCTTTTTCTTTTTTCTTTTTTTTTGTTGAATTTTTTCATGTTTTAAATCATTTCAAATATCAGTATTCAATGTTTTGTTTAATATATCAAAAAATTGTTTATGCATTTGTAATTGCAGGTTAAATGCATTCGTGTCAAAATACATGTGTGTAAATACATCTAAATGCCTCTTCAGATGCAGCGTCTGTGTTGATTTCATTTGCTCTCTTCAGATGCAGCGTCTGTGTGGATTTCATTTGCTCGGTAACAGCCCGAATGTCTTATTTTTCTAATTCCCTGATTAAATGTAAGAATTTGACTCAAAAGATAATGGACACTTTTAGAAAGAAAATGGCTTTATAAAGGTAAAAATGCCCATAAAATGCAAAAATCAGTTTAAACTTATTGGAAAAGATTAATTTCTATCAGTATGAACTGACCAGCACACAGAATATGAAGAATATTAAAAACATTAGGAGTCAGCTGTCTTTGGCAGTCCTTAAGGTACCAGCACAATAACACACTCAGCAAAATATCGTCTAATTATCATTATCGATAAAATCCCGTAAAATATCGAGATATAATTTTTTTTTGTCAATATCGCACACCCCTAGCGCGCACACAGACACACACACACAGACACACACACACACTCTCTCACACGCACACACACACACACACAGACACACACACACACACACAGACACGCACACACAGACACACACTCTCACACACGCACATGCAGACGCACACACGCACGCACTTCGTGTAGGGCTCATGTCACATACTACATGCATAGTGGGACCTGCCTGGAGTGTGCAGAGATTCTCTTTCTCTCTTATGGGTGCGTTTGCTGTGTATGCAGTCGTGCATTCATGCTCGCATGCAGTCATATCATAACACATGGACAAAGCGCTCATCTACTAATTCCCACGAGGCCTTGGACGGTTGCCGTGGGCAACGGTGCATGCTCTACTTCCTGTGCCTTTTCCTGTTTAAAGCAGGGCTGCTGAATTTGAACCCATTCATTCCTCCTTGTTTTCAGTGCATAAATGCAATTTAACATATTACTCTCTATGAGAACCAACTTCCAGTAACCATAAAGTGAGTTTTTAATACTTGAGTGTGAACTGACCAGCACACAGAATATGAAGAATATTAAAAACATTAGGAGTCAGCTGTCTTTGGCAGTCCTTAAGGTACCAGCACAATAACACACTCAGCAAAATATCGTCTAATTATCATTATCGATAAAATCCCGTAAAATATGGAGATATAATTTTTTTTTGTCAATATCGCACACCCCTAGCGCGCGCACAGACACACACACACACACTCTCTCACACGCACACACACACACACACAGACACACACACACACACACAGACACGCACACACAGACACACACTCTCACACACGCACATGCAGACGCACACACGCACGCACTTCGTGTAGGGCTCATGTCACATACTACATGCATAGTGGGACCTGCCTGGAGTGTGCAGAGATTCTCTTTCTCTCTTATGGGTGCGTTTGCTGTGTATGCAGTCGTGCATTCATGCTCGCATGCAGTCATATCATAACACATGGACAAAGCGCTCATCTACTAATTCCCTCTCTCACACACACGCACACACGCACGCACTTCGTGTAGGGCTCATGTCACATACTACATGCATACTGTGACCTGCCTGGAGTGTGCAGAGATTCTCTTTCTCTCTTATGGGTGCGTTTGCTGTGTATGCAGTCGTGCATTCATGCTCGCATGCAGTCATATCATAACACATGGACAAAGCGCTCATCTACTAATTCCCACGAGGCCTTGGACGGTTGCCGTGGGCAACGGTGCATGCTCTACTTCCTGTGCCTTTTCCTGTTTAAAGCAGGGCTGCTGAATTTGAACCCATTCATTCCTCCTTGTTTTCAGTGCATAAATGCAATTTAACATATTACTCTCTATGAGAACCAACTTCCAGTAACCATAAAGTGAGTTTTTAATACTTGAGTCCTCATAGGCCACGCTGCCACTGTTTTTGACCAATGCAATATGATTTAAAATGATAATAATTAATGCAGAGAAAGCAAATCATACAGCGTGCAACCATGCATGATGGTGAGTACATGACCATTTTGATTTAAATGTCTGAATTTCACAGTGTGGACATTTTGTGATTGAATTTAGTGAATATTGTGTGGAACTATACAGTAATAATAAGTTGCATGGGTCAAAATTGCATCGTTGAGAGAACCCCCCCCAGATAAGTCACATTTCATTATTACATTAAAAAATAAATGTCACTTTGGAATAAAACAATGTTCTTTTTGATCATCTTAAACGTGCTGATTTTTTAAAAAGTGACTTATATAATGCATTTAATATCAAGCACATAAAACATGCGTAAAAAGCACACACATTTCAGTTTATGCCAACCGAGTTTATTTGTATAGCGCATTTTCCACACGCCAGTAGTTTTAGTTTCACTTTAAATGCGTTTGTTATTGCTTGGCGTTTTTTATTAATTGTTTTTATAACAAATGCCACCATAATTTGTTTTTCTATATGTATGTTTTTCATTCCTGTTCTGAATAGGGTTGCAAAGGGGTGGAACATTTCCGGACACTTTCCAAAAATCCCAGGAATATTCCCAAAAAATCCTGGAACGTTTCCAAAATTTCTGGAATATTTCCGAAATTTACTGGAAATTTTCCACCTTTTTGCAACCCTAGTTCTGAATAATGTTTTATTTAAAGTATTAGTTTTGGAGTGAGAGAAACTAAAATAGAATTTTATAGCGTTTATGATAACATTTCATTTTATTTTCTTGTATTTTACATTTCTTTTTGAATGTAATAAAAAAATTACACTTTTTTTTTTTTTTTAACAATGCGATTTTTACATGGTGCAAATTATTTTCCATAAAACAGTAATTATACAATGTGCGTACAATAGATATTATATGAATGTTTGACACAATATTTACTCAATTCACTCACAATATTTGAAAACAGCAAATGGACATAGTTATTAAATGTATATGTAGTTATTTTTTATTTTTATATTTTAATAATAAAATAATTATATTATAATTAAAATAATAAATATATTTAGTTTGTTTAATAAATAAATAAATATAATAAAGTATATTTATTTTATTTTATATTGTTTTTATATTTTATTTTCAGTTAATGTGTATTTTATTTTAAGTAACGTAAATGTTTTTTTTTAATGGTTTTAATTTTTGTTTATTTAATTACTATAACCCCGGTCTTCATCCTTGTGTTGATCCACACCGTATGGTTTTCTTTCTGTGGAAATGCAGCTTCTGATCTGCTCTGTTCGTTACAGTAAAGTCATCGCGGTGAGCAGAAACTGTCAAGACGTTTATGTTTTCACTGACTAATAGTTTGGGTGTGTTGAGCCAAAAGCAACTTGGAAATTATGCAGAATATCTTCGTTTATGTTCCATGGAAGAAAGAAAGTCACTCGGGTTTGGAACAAAATGATGAGAAATTTCTTTTTAAGTGAACTATCGCTTTAATTGGTTAATTGGGCACAGCTGATCATCTCAAATACCCAAATTACGCTAATATATGTGTGGATAGAAGAAGAAAAGGGGTTTTCAAGCATTAAAACAACAAAAGTTTAATACCGCTTTAAATGTAGTTTTTTCCCCCACCTTACATTAGAATGTAAAATTTTATTTTCTGAGCAAAAAGTAATGACTATCCTACATTTTTACCACGGTTTACAGAAAACATCCACTAAAATGTCATTCACTGTAACAATAGTTCATATACCAACAGATCTTGTCAGGCAAAATATATTAATGGACGTTTTTAAAAAGGTTCCTCATGGAATATTTTTTTTGATCATGCATTAAATTGAAAAATTCCATATAATGGTTATTATTATTATTGCCATTATTTTTATTTTAATATGTTGTTGTTTTTTGTTAAACTATTGTAACCAGTGTATTGAAATGATTTTGTAATCATAATACTGTTTATCTTGCCATGAATATAGCCATTGGTGCTGATATGGCATTAAATAAAAAACAAACAAACAAGCAATAATATATATATATATATTTCACCCATACTTTGACATTTTATTTTCACAAAGGTTATTAGAAACATTAACACACACACACTTTATTTGCATTTAATATGCATTATATGTGTATACAATGGCTTTTGTGAATTTTAATCTCATAATATGTGACCCTGCAGCACAAAAGCAGTGTTAAGTCGCTGGGGGATATTTGTAGCAATAGCCAACAATACATTGTATGGGTCACAATTATACATTTCTCTTTTATGCCAAAAATCATTAGGATATTAAGTAAAGGTCATGTTCCATGAAGATATTTTGTACATTTCCTACCATAAATATATCAAAACTTAATTTTTGATTAGTAATATGCATAGCTAAGAACTTCATTTGAACAACTTTAAAGATGATTTTCTCAATATTTAGATTTTTTTGCACCCTCAGATTCCAGATTTTCAAATAGTTGTATCTCAGCCAAATATTGTCCGATCCTAACAAACCATACATCAGTGGAAAGCTTATTTATTCAGCTTTCGGCTGATGTATACATCTCAATTTCCGAAAATTGACCCTTATGACTGATTTTGTGCTCCAGGGTCACATATAGCTTCATGAGTTTAATCCGTGTTTACTTGTATGAACTGTGTGCAGTTCTCCGTTCTTAACATTGGTCTTATTGTCTCTGTGGCTTTCAAATAGTGCCTCTATTTTTACTCTCCCTGCCCTCATCTATTTCTCTTTCCTTTCATTTTTCCTCCTGGTTCTCTCTGCGTGTCTCCAGCTGTCTGTGGTGTTGGCTGCTCTCCAGGAACGGGCAGATGGCTCTGTAATTGAGAATGCATCTCTCTCTCTCGGTTTCTCTCTTTATTTCTTTCTTGTGTTCATGCATCTCCTTCGGTCTCTCGTCTTCTATTTCGTGTCATTTATTTACGCACATTTCACGTGGTTCTTTTCTTTGGGTTTCTCCATCATTGACATCAGATCGCTTGTTTTTGACCCCTTTGTTGTTTAATTGGCTTGTAATTTGGTCGCATGTTCATTATATTAACACTCTTTCATGGCTAGACAGGCGAGCGTTGTTGTTTCTTTTGTTTTAGCGAGTAACAAAGTATACAGTGTTTTCACGTCATGCCTTTGTGTGTGAAAACTAAAGATGTTTAAAGAAATTAAACCCGATGGTGGATCGCCTGAACAACTAGTCATGATAAGAAAACTCCATCTAATCAGATGTGCTTCACATTGAACACTTTATTATAAAAAAATGGGTTGATAGAGAATGCAACAAAATGCTAGATGAGTAATTTTGTAATTTCTTCTTGACTCAGGTGCAACAATTCATATGTTTGTTAACAGTATTATTTTTGAATATATACATAAAATTAATATTATTTATTTTATACATATATATATATATAGAGAGAGAGAGAGAAGTTGCTGTTTTATTAAAAAAATGAAATAAAATAAAAATAAATGAAATGAAAAAGGTAACATTCTATTATATATATATATATATATATATATATATA